TTGCTCATAGAGAGGATGAGCTATCGAAGTTGCGCGATATGGTTAATTCTCGTTCTCAAACGCCCATCAATGAGCCCACTACAATTAGAACTCACTTCCCACTCCCGAAACTCGATCTTCCCAATTTTTCCGGAGGTTACGAAGACTGGGTGGGGTTCCGGACATTTTTGTCGCTATAATACATAATGATTAAACGATACCTAGAGTACAAAAGTTGAGATACTTGAAATCATACGTAAAGGATAATGCCGCGAGAGTTATAAAAAATGATGAAATATCTGATGCAAATTACGAAATAGCATGGCAGCTGCTTCAGGATAGATATGACAACAAAAGAATAATTATTCAAAATCATGTGCAGGCTTTGTTTGAATTACAGAATTTAAATAAAGAGTCAGCTGTTTGCCTTCGTAATTTGTTAGATACGACTCTTAGACACATACGCGCACTGAAAGTATTGGGTCAGCCTACAGATTCATGGGATGCATTACTGATCTGTTTGTTGACATCTAAATTAGACCGGGAAACACGGAAAGAGTGGGAACGATCGATTAAAAGGAGTGAATTGCCCAAGTTTGATTTATTCGCGGATTTTTTAAATGAAAAATGTCAAGTATTGGAATCTTTAATTCCTTTATCCAATAATAACAATAAACAAAGTTTCAATAATAACAATAAACAAAGTTTAAATAATAACAAGTAGCAGTTTGATAATAATAACAAATTTTCAGGAAAAACTTTCGTGAATACTCATGCACAGGTGGGCACAAGTAGCTGTTATTTTTGTAGTGGTAATCATTTTATTCAGGTTTGCGAAGATTTTGCAAAATTATCAGTATGAGAAAAAACAATTAGTTAAAAAAAAGGGATTATGTTTTAATTGCCTCAGACGAAATCACTCGATAGTTAATATTGTAAATCAGGAAATTTTACTATATGTAATAAGCGACATCATACACTCTTACATGCAGAATTGAGAACAGAATCACGCGAGGGTGTGAATGTAAATAAAAACAATACAGAAAAAGTTAAAAGTTTCCATGTAGCTGAGTCAAAATTCCTGAAGCCAAATTTCATGTTTTTTGTATGAACTTGTAAATATACAAAATTAGTACGTAAGAATGAGTTAAGTAACTGGCGTAAAGGATTTTTAAAAAAAAATTAATTTCCCCTAGTTATAAACAACTGAATCTTTTTGCAGTCTTTTATTAAAAAATGAATATGGATATGAATATGAATATATGAATATGAAAATGGATCATCTTTATAAAATTTGGTATGCGTGCTTAGAAAATAATATAGTTTGAATTAAAATTATAAAAATTTTAAATTGTTTAATTTCAATAATTGTTATTGCAAAAATAATTGTTTATAAGCAAAAAAAACAATGTTCTCATCCACGTAGAAAGTTGACATAAAAATTATTGGAAAGGATATTTTATAAGGATTCGATAACCGTTTTGAAATTTAGTGGATCGGGATTATTAACAAAGTTACAGTGTTTTTTCTACCGCGCTGCACGTATCTACGCGCTCCTCCGCGTTCACTTTCCACTGCTTGTTAGGTTATTTCCGTAGTAGATAAAATTTTTTTTAGGTAGTATATAAGTAGTAGTGGTAAATGGTTAATTTTAATATTATTATAAGTAAGAATATGTTACAAGTAATAATAAATTCAAGATTTGTTTAAATAATGTTTATTTAAATTAACAATAAATTCGGTTTTAAAGCAATTTTACTTTGCAATAACGTTTTCTTCAAAATTGTTGTCATTGGAAAAATCTTGCAGTATAGAGTTTTTTCATCTTTTACTAAAAAGCAGTGAAATTGGCGAGTTTTATTTACTGTCACTGCCATATCAAACCTTCTTTTTAATGAAGGTTCCACTCTTTTATGTTCTTTTTTCGTACAGAAATCAAATTCAATTTTTGAAAAAAAATCTTTTGCCCAATCATATAAATTTTTGGGTGTTGTAATTTAATCCTCATATGGTCTCTGCATACTACATTTGTAGGCTTTCCTTTTAACTGTCCCCCCAATACCATCGCATGCACCTTTGCCATGCGAGGTGTCAAAAAAATGCCATTCAGCGTCGATATTAAAATCTTTTTTATGGTGTACCAAATTTATAAAATTACTTTTGTTTTTATATTGGGAGGCAGCACCATCCGAAAAATAAACAATTTTTTTAATTTTTTCTTCTCCGTGTTTTGCTTTTAAATAAGATATCAATTTCTTATTAAAGAGATGCACAGACGTTGTATTATGCTTATCGCCTTCTGAAATGATGACAAAATTGTCATTCCGAAGCTTATTATTTTTCCTATTATATATTACATAAGGATGTAATGTGGCCTGCGCATTAGACCAATGGTACGCTTGTATGGCATAATGCACACAAAAGCTATAATTTTCTGAAAAATCTAACGCAACTAAAAATTCTTCATCACACAAACTCTCCTTTAAATTTGAGAAATAGGCACCTTGTGATTTTGCGAGGAAATCATGTTTTAATAACGTCGGTAAATCTTCTCATTTTTTGTAAAAAATCTTCAACGCAAACTTGCTGAGACTTCAATTCACATCTAGTCAAAAATCATAGCACTTACATAAATTGAAAACATAAAATTTATAATGGAAATAAATAAATAAATAATACAATAACAATTCATATAAATTTTAAAAAATTGTAAAAAATATTTTAACATATGAATTAAAAGTAGTGAACCTCTGAAAGCTCTGAAAGCCACTTGAATTAAACAAATAATTAAAAAACGACAAATAATTAAAAAACAAAATTAATTTTTGAATTTACCTGTCAGTGTTGGTCCATTCACTGTATTTTATTTGCGTTACCGAATTATCGCGACATAAATTTCGTATTGTTTCACAAAAACCTGCGGAACCGGGACATTTGGAGCAATTTAATAAGTGGCAAGGTGATCCGGGATCTTCACACATCATATCTTTTAATACATCCTTGTAAGTCAATGTTAAATCGTATTGGTTCTTCTTCAACTCAGATTTTAAACCTTGGAACATTAATCTAATATTTTGATGAGTCTTGCAGACGCATACATTGTGACACCCATTTCTATTTGCCAAGATACATTCTTTGGGTCGCAGTTTTGAGAATTTCGATAAACTGATTTTATCATCCGGAAATTTTTCCTTAAAGCTTGATTACAAGTCTTTCAGATCATAAAGTAAAAGCTGTTTTTGAACATTTATTCGACCTTCATCTAATTTAATAGAAATACAGTCTTTTTTCCCCGGCATTATTCGACTGTTTTCTTCTGACAAGTAAAAATCTTTAACCTTTTTTACGATTTCAGGATTTAGAGGTCGACCTTTTTTCTTGTCAGGGCGAGATTTGTATCCTTTTGTTAGTCTTAATTTTTTTGCGCGAGATGCCATGCGGCGGGAAACATTAAAATGAGCCCGTATTTGCCGAATACTCAATTCTATTAGAAGAGTCGATAAAATTTCTAATTTTTCATGAGAATATTTTGCTTCCAATAACGCATTATTAATATCATGAATTAATTGTTCGCTGATTATTATCGGTTTAGGTTGCATCACTTTTTTAATTAGATTAGAAACAGTTATTGCTTCAACATAGTTTTCTTCAATGTCTAGTTTTTGTCGTTTCACTTTGCGATCTGGTGTGACATATTCATGAAGAATTTTTTGAACTTTTTTAATTTTTAAATCTCGATCCACCGTGCAAAACTCACATGTAGAATCCTTTATATTGTCATCTGTTTATGCAAAGAATTTTATTAGATACAGTTAAAATGATAAATAAATAAAGAAATATATAAAGATATTTTAATTCATAGAATTAACATTCATAGCTCTATATAAAATAGCTCTTGGTTAATTTCGATAAAGCTGAATCAGAAAAGACGTTACTCTAAGATTAGCTAAATTTTAATTTACCTGTTAAAAAGTAATTTATAATAAAGTAATAATTTCTAATTATAAGATATTAATATAAATTTTACCTAATTCTTCATCTGTACTATCAGATCCAATTTTCATTTTTGTATCTTCGGAAACGATTGGGAAAGTTTTTTTAATTTCAACTTTTTCATTACTTAAAGTACGCCTACAAGAATCGCATACATATAGCCCAATGAGGGAACTAAACACAGATTTCCAATTATTTGTAACACATTTTAACTTTTTGTAAACTGAATTATGTTTTGATTTTAACAATGGATTACAGCACTTATTAGTCGGTGGCATTTTGCATTTAAAGAATGTGCAATTCTTGAATATACACAACGTCCAAACTTAATTGCTTAACATACACAAATATTTACATGGAAAAACTGTTATTATAATAATCACAACACAAACAATAAATTTTGTTTAAAAACACGTTTTCACTGGAAAAAAGTTTTTTAAATTATGGAAACAGTATTCAGTGAATAAAGTGGCACTTCAAGCGCTTGACGTGTCCATACTTGTTTTGCGCGGAGGAGCGGTATAGAGACGTGCAGCGCGGCAGAAAAAACGCTCTAACTTTGTTAATAATCGCGATCCACTAAATTTCAAAACGGTTATCGAATCCTTATAAAATATCCTTTACAATAATTTTTATGTCAACTTTCTACGTGGATGAGAACATTGTTTTTTTTGCTTATAAACAATTATTTTTGCAATAACAATTATTGAAATTAAACAATTTAAAATTTTTATAATTTTAATTCAAACTATATTATTTTCTAATCACGCATACCAAATTTTATAAATGCACACTGTTCCACGATATCCATTTTTTAATAAAAGACTGCAAAAAGATTCAGTTGTTTATAACTAGGGGAAATCAATTTTTTTTAAAAATCCTTTACGCCAGTTAATTAACTCATTCTTACGTTCTAATTTTGTATATTTACAAGTTCATACAAAAAACATGAAATTTGGCTGGTACACTTCAGGAATTTTGACTCAGCTAATTCATCAGAAGTCATCTTGTCAACAGCTATAATTGATATGATTGATAGTCGTAGAATAAAATATCCTTGTAGAGTATTATTAGATAGTGGATCGCAACCTAATATTATGACGTTATCTTTAGCTAAAAAACTTAAATTGCAAAGACAGAAATTAACATCCACTATCGAAATGGTAAATAATCAGGAGTTAAATACATGTGAATATGTTGTTGCAACGTTTCAATCTAGGTTTTCGAAATTTTCTGCCAAACTTACTTTCCTTGATCTTCCTCAGATTACGAGCAATATCCCATCCTCTACCTTGAATAGAAAATTATTTAACATTCCTAATCACATATAGTTATCAGATCCTGACTTTGACAGACCATCAAGAGTTGACGCACTTATTGGAGCTGAATTATTTTATGACCTTCTTTACATGGAAAGAATATCTCTTGCTCTTCCTCGTACTTCTTTACAGAATACAAAACTGGGAAGGATAGTCACCGGCCGAATTAATGATCATTCATTTGGAAACAGGTTTTCTTGCAACGTTATTAGGGATCCTCTTAGTTTACAATTAGAAAGGTTTTGGAATTTGGAAGAGGTTCCTGATAAACGTCATTTTTCAGCAGAAGAAGAAGCCTGTGAAGATCATTTCCAGCGTTACACTCATCGAGAATCATCAGGTCATTATCAGGTATGTTTGCGTTTTAACAAAAAGCAGCATCTTTTGGGATCGTCGTATGATACAGCTCGAAGAAGATTCTTTATTCTTGAAAGAAAACTAGAAAGAAATGGTCAAATAAAAGAAGAATACCACAAATTTATGAGAGCCTATGAAGAATTGCAGCATATGGAACCCGTCGGATCAGATGATCGTTCTGGATATTATTTACCTTATCATACAGTCATTAAGGAATCAAGCCTGACTACAAAGTTAAGGGTCGTGTTTGATGCATCTGCAAAAACAAGTACCGCTGTATCTCTCAATCAGGCAATTATGGTGGGAGCAACGATCCAAGACGGAATCTTCGAGTTCATGTTAAGATTTCGATCACATTTAATCGTATTAACAGCTGACATCGAGAAGATGTACCGGCAGTTCTGGGTGCATCCTGATGATCGTAGATATCAAAAAATTTTATGGCGTTTTGACAGGAATAGTCCCTTGATCACATATCAGCTGAAAACCGTTACTTGTGGTACATCGGCTGCACCATTCTTGGCCACGAGATGTTTGAAGCGTTTGGCGGATGATGAGAGGCAAAACTTTCCTGAAACAGCTAAAACACTGGAAGAAGACTTTTATGTGGATGATATTCTCACCGGGAAGGATACTCTTGAAGAAGCCAAACAATTACGGGATGATATTATCAAATTGACTGAAGGAGCAGGACTGACGTTGTGCAAGTGGAACTCAAATCATCCAGCAATGATCGGTGATCTTGATGATTACTCGAGAACTTCTTATCAGATCATAGGTAGAGATCAAACCTCCCGGACATTGGGATTGGGTTGGCATGCTGTAGAGGATTCATTAAGGTTTGAGATTATCAACAAGGCTCAAGATGATGTAGTGACCAAGAGAATAATTTTATCTCAGATTTCTCAACTTGATGATCCTCTTGGAATAATAGCTCCTGTGATCATGTTCGCTAAGATACAAATACAAAATCTTTAGAAGCAGAATTTGGAATGGGATAGTCCTGTTCCCGCAGAATCACTGGCGAAGTGGAGTGGATTCAAGGATCAGCTGATATTGTTGAACGAATGGAAGATTCCCAGATCAATCAAGATCTTTGACTTAGATCATTATCAGATTCATGGATTTGCAGATGCCAGTTAGAAAGCTTATGGGGCGTGCATCTATGTTCGTTCGTCAGATGGATGCAAGCATTCTACTATGTTGCTGTGTGCTAAGTCACGTTTCTCTCAGGTCAAAATCGTATCACTGGCAAGATTGGAACTATGTGCTGCACTATTATTTGCAAGACTATACAAGGCTGTTAGGGGATCATTAAAAATGGAATTTGTTAGCTCAACCTTTTGGTCAGACTTAACTATAACATTAAATTGGATAAAGACAGCACCTCATCGATTGGATACATTTGAAGCAAACAGGGTTGCTGAGATTCAAAGTATGACGGATTCCTGTACCTGGAGATATGTACCAACGAAAGAGAATCCTGCTGATAGCATATCTCGAGGACAAACACCTGTGGAATTTTTGGCTAATGATCTATGGATCAATGGACCGATTTGGTTACAGAAGGAAGAGTCGGATTGGCCAGAATCTCTTGTTGATCATGAGGAAATCATTGAGAGTGATGAGACTGACAATCGAGTACGAGTCAACACAATCAACCACAAAAATTTTAACTTGTGGAATTTATATTCTTCTTGGACAAAGTTGACTCATGTGGTTGCTTATTGTTTTTGTTTTTTGAACAGAAGACTTGGAATGACCTACAAATCCAGAATATTGATTACGAGGGAGATCCAGTTTGCATCAAAGCGAATTGTTCAGCTCGTTCAACTTGAGACATTTCCAGAAGAAATTTCCAGGTTATCCAATCAACGATCAATTTCGAAATCTTCGAAAATTCTCTAGTTATCACCATAATTGGAGGATGGAACTTTGAGGGTCGGGGGGAGACTTACGAACTCCGACTTAGACGATGGACAAAAATATCCTATCCTATTACCCAAGATCCATCCTGTTACGGATTTGATTATTCGCAAAACGCATAAGAAACTGATGCATGCCGGCATCAACACCACATTGTACGGAACTCGCAAAAAATATTGGATTGTAGATGGTAGATCCATTGTCTTAAAAATTGTACACGCGTGCATAAAATGTTGTAGACCGAACCCGAGAGAGATTTCCTATACAATGGGTAACTATCCAAAAACGAGAGTAACTGTAAGCGAACCGTTTGAGCATACAGGCGTTGATTTTTGTGGACACTTTTTTAATAAAGAAAAGAATTTTAGAAATAAAAATAAAATAAAGGTATTTGCTGCGGTATTTGTGTGTTTAGCGACAAAGGCAGTGCATATAGAATTGGCTAAAGATTTGTCCACGGAAGCGTTCTTAGCATGGTTACGACCATTTTTTAGTAGACGTGGAAAAGTAAAATAATTAAACTCCAATAATGCAACGAATTTTGTAGGAGCAAGCAGAGAGCTAAGAGAACTTCACGGCATGCTGAATTCAAGTAAAGCTACCGACCAAATTCAGGAATTTTTAGCTGATCGTGAAATTGAGTGGAATTTCATTCCACCTCGAACTCCACATTTTGGTGGAATTTGGGAGGCAGCCGTGAAGTCCTTGAAGCATCACATGCGTTGGGTGATCGGAGAAACACTGTTCACTTTTGAGGAGTTATACACATTTATGTGTGAAATCGAGGCAATTTTAAATTCGCGTCCGCTCACGTCGATATCAACTGATCCAAACGACAACCAGGCGTTTGTGCCTGATAGCAAAAATGACAGGGCATTTTTTAATTAGTAAATCATTGTTAACTATACCACATGTAGATTATTCGAAAATTGCTACGAATCGGTTGTCATCATGGCAACACATCCAAAAATTAAAATCAGATTTGTGGAAGCGGTGGCAACACAAATATTTGAATGAATTGAATGTAAAAAAATAAATGGTATAAGGGAGAAAATGAGAATATAAAAATTGGTACTTTGGTAACTTTAAGGGAAGAGAACTTGCCTCCGCTCCGATGGGCATTAGGTAGAATTTTGTAATTAAAGAATTTTAGGCCATTTCCATCACCACAAATATTTAGTTTATTTTATACATAAACAACGTTTCGGCAGCTGCCGCTACCCTCATCAGGTTTACAAAAAAAAATTTTTTTTTTATTACACTGAAAATTAATTTTTAATAATTTAGTTTTATATAAAGTGTTTGTATTGTATCTAGAAAAAGTTAGTACTTACGTAATTGAATTTTTTAAAATATAAATGAGAAAAGAGAGGTTAATTTTGACATCTCTCTATTCATTATTTTTATGTCGAATTTCTATTGAGAATAGTATTTTATTTTTAAAAGAAAAGTTTTATAAAAGTAAAAAGTATTTTTTTTTTCTTTAGTCATTTTTTAATAAAAAGAATTAAAATTATAAAAGATAAATGAGGATGGTTATTACCATCTTTATATAGCAGACACTTGCTGCATTACTATAGAGTAATATATAAACTATAGAGTGTTTAGATGCTGATATTGTAGGATACTGTATTAATTCACGTTATTTAAAAAACCTTGATAGATATTGCCTAATTTCTCTATATCTGTTTTGAAATTTATTGAATTTTTTTCTTTTGCTATATATATCATCTCTAGGAATTTTCTTTTATGATAGTTTGGTTCTGTGTTCAAAATTGTTACTTTATTAAAGTCAAAATTATGTTTATTTTTGGAAGCGTGTGTAGCTAAGACTGTATTTGTTTTTTATTTTTAACATCTCTAGTGTGTTCTGTTATTCTAGTTTGCAAATATCTTAATGATTCTCCAATGTATACATTATTACAGTTAAGACAGGGTATTTTATATATGGTGTTAATTTGATGTTTTTTTCTACTTTATCTTTTGTTGAATATAAAATATTTTTTTGTATTGTATTTTCAATAGCATGGACTATTCTTATATTAAATTTATTGAAAATGTTATAATATAATAAAAAAAAAAAAATTTTTTTTTGTAAATCTGATGAGGGTAGCGGCAGCTGCCGAAACGTTGTTTATGTATAAAATAAACTAAATATTTGTGGTGATGGAAATGGCCTAAAATTCTTTAATTACAAAATTAAACCACATAAAAAGTTCATCTAATTAAAATTATTGGCCTTAAACAAAATACAATTTTTCTCTTACACGCGACATGGAAGAACATAACCTATCAACAATCTCAATTCTGGATCTTCAACAACAATCTCCTCAACAAATTTCGGAAATCAATATCCATATTCAATATGTCAAAAATAAATTACATTTTTTTGAAAACAAAATAATAGCTAATACCTCAAACGTATTTTTCAATAACATTAAAAATAACCAAAATATTACTCCTAATAATTTCCAAAGTAAAATAAAAGAAAAGTCAATCAATAAATTTAATAATATAGTTAATAAACAAGAATATTCCGTAAAAACAGATATTGATAATTCGCTGGTTAATAAAAGTAACATAAAAATTCCTCATAATATAAAAGAAATTTTAAGTCTTGGAGGAAAATTCGCAATTCCTTATACTAAAGAGAACTATCCCCTTCCAAAAATTATTACCAATATTGAAAATGCTATTTATAACATACCTAGTAAAACAAAAAATTCAATTAGAAACAGCGTCTTATACTGGGTTCAAAATTGGTACTTAAAACAACCTAAATTAACTTTTAAACAACTACAAATAGAAAAAAAATAAATGAAACAAAGCAATTTTTAAAAAATAATCCCAATTTAATCATTACAACTGCAGATAAAAGTAACAAAACAGTTATTCTAGAAAAACAAGATTACAATAAAAAAGTATTAGAACTGTAACAAGATGATAATACTTACATTAAACTTAAAAACAATCCCACTGCAAAAATACAAAACACTTTAAAAGATTTAACTGACTCATTGTATAAAAAAACCTCATAAATGAACATACTAATAAATTTCTAAAATGCACTAATGGTCTAGCACCAAAATTCTATATTCTTCCAAAATTACATAAAAACAACTGTCCTGGAAGACCAATAACATCATTTATAAACTCACCGTTATATAATTTATCAAAACTTTTAGCAAACACCTTACAGAAAGTGGTTATAACAAATGAATATAGTATTAAAGATAGTTGGACATTCAAAAAAAAAATTGACAACATTTTTATTCCTGACAATTTTACAATAATCTCCCTTGACGTTGTTTCTATGTATACTAATATATCATGGAAACTAATTAAAAAATGTATTAAACGCAGATGGAAAGACATACAACCTTACACAACTTTAAATATGGACGATTTTATAGAAGCAATGACGCTATGCTTAGAAAATTCTTACTGCCAATTTCAAGGTGAATTTTATCAACAAACCTTTGGACTACCCATGGGATCCCCCATTAGCGCCGCATGCGCAAACTTAGTCATGGAATATTTAGAAAAGAAAATTTTGAAAAATATTAAATACAAAATAATTTTTTACTATAGATATATGGATGATACTTTAATTTGCCTACCTAAAAATAAAATAAATAGTTTTTTTGATAATTTCAATTCCATTAATGAAAAAATAAAATTTACTTTCGAAGAAGCAACAAACAATAGGATTAATTTTCTGGATTTAACATTATATATAGAAAAAAATAAAATAATCACAAACTGGTTCAGAAAAGCAATATGGTCAGGTCGATACATAAACTACGATTCTGAACATTGTTTAAAATACAAATTAAGTGTTATCATTGCTTTAGTCGACCGCGCAATTAAATTAGCAGATAAAAAATTCCATAATGAAAATCTTAAAATCGTTAAAGAAACACTTTTAAAAAATGGTTTTCCAATTAACATATTACAGCAAAAAATTAAAGAAAGATACAATTATCTAATACATAATAATAAAAATTATACTCCACCTAACAATGAAAATATCACAACTATTTCACTACCATATATTAAAGATCTTGAGAATGTCTTTTATAACATTTTCAATAAATTTAATATAAGAATAGTCCAATCAATTGAAAATACAATACAAAAAAATATTTTATATTCAACAAAAGATAAAGTAGAA